ACAGCGCTACCGCTACATTTATAGATAAAGCCTTTAGATTTTACTTAATAGTATTAAATATTTTTTAAAAACTAGCATGATCCATACACAATATAAATTACAGAATAAAACTGTACGAAATATTTCGGTGTAATGTTGTCAACCTCAGCCTGTTACTGGTGTCAACATGTTAGTTGTTACTTGTTAAGTTGTTACCAGTTAACACGGGACACCGGACGTCAATATGTTGACGTAGTCAGCCATAAGTGTGGCCCACCGGCTGAGAAAAAAGTTAGTTTCGCTAATTAGCGGATTAGCGGACTCTGCCCATCAATGATATTGTGGAAAATTATTATATGTTATTTGCATTATTCAGCGATCGAACGTTTATTTTTCAAGTTAAGTGATGCATGAGTGTAAATCATAATTATAATTTACATAAATGCAATGCACATTATGATCCATGTTTCCATTTGCGTAGTTGAGAACAAGGAATTGAGCGTAGTTTATGGAAATGTGCAATGAAAGATGCCAGTCATTGCTCTTTATTCTGTACAATATCCTTGTTATTCTGCCACTTTATCTTTCTCGTCAAGAAATTAGTGACGCAAACTACTTGCCTTAAACTTGGCTACCATCTGGTCTCTGAAATTTATTCTGATTCTAATTCAATCTTATATCATTATATGAAAGTCATGCAGCCGATCCTGCCAAGCCGAGAAGATTTTATAGTTAAATTTCAAGAACAAACTCCGTAGATTTCATTATGCCTCGCGTATCTACATATAAAGCTCGATCAGGGCAGTGTATTATTTAATGTAGATTATGAATATTTTGCAGTTTCTGGGAGCTAGTTAATTTATTATATATTTATTGAGAATATTCAGTGATAGACCAATCAATGTCTTCAAATTTAAAATGTTCTTTTGAATTCAACATTCATATTGACAACTGGCACTGGCCCTTACATTATTTCAGGGAAGCCATATCATACAGTTTGTGCTCAGCTGGCCCATGCAACGCTTGACAATGAGGCACTTACACTCACAATATTTTAGGCGAGTAGAATCCCCTTAAATTTAAATAAATTGAAGCAACGGCCTCCAGAACGCGTTCGACTCATCGGAAATACTTACGATGATTCCGTAAATTATTGGTAGCCAAGATACCAGCTCGAGGGCGTTGGCGACTCGGCCCCCTGTCCCTCACTTGCTTAGTATAGCGAGTCAAAAGCGTCCATGGTTAAAAATCCAAGGTGGCGGTCTGTCGCAGTTGGTGAAAAATATATCAGCTGTGAAATTAAAAACTAATAATGATATTTCAATTTTTCATTTTGGCAAATTTATATTTTTGTTATAGTTTTTAATTTATGCTTCTTTCTAATTATGCTTTCTGAAACCCGGCGCTTCAGGAGCTTTCGAGTAGCTATTTTACGTATGAAATTAATTCATATTTTTTAGGAGACGTTATACGTAATTCAAATATAAGTTCCAACTTCTTCAGCCTTCGGACAGTTTGGTGTAGTGGTTAAAGGCATCTGTTTGAGCTAGCGGGATGGATCTGGAGGTCGAGGGTTCGAATCTCGGGCTGAGACTTGTGACGAAGTTTACACTACTGAAACCCCCCTCCAGCCCGGGAATCGAACTCCCGGCCTCCAGACCCCCACCGCTAACTCAAGCCATAGGCATTACTCACCACAACAATCTGTCCTGCCTCCCTGGGAATGGGCTGTAGATAGATAAAGGTGCCACTTCCGAATGTTAGGGTGTAACTGTAGGTTGAGACCGAGTTGTAGGTAAACAGGTTACGTAGGAGGGAGGCAGAAATTTTTGTCCGTATCCATGATACTTGAGTACGCTCCAATGTATATAGAACGTCGCAAATAGGCTGCCGGATTATCTGTCGCAATCACGCTATTCTAAATTATACAAAAACCTGCTTAATTCGGCCAAAAAATCTGCTAATCACAAATGCAGATCTTCCCTGACGAAAACCATCGAACTCAATTATGATCATCGTACTGTTGTCTTAAAATCACTACTGTTTTCAACAATCGAGCTCCAATCTTCGTAACTCCTTGCTTGTATTTCTTCGCGTTTACTAATGTTTGTGTTTTTCTGTCTTTAGTTCAATTTTTGCTACTGCATGGTAAATTTTTTAAATTAGTTCGATCAGAAAAAGAACTTTTGGAAGGCCGGGATCGTCGGACCGGGCGTTCTAGCCTATATGAGGGCGCCTGGCCTCTCCGCTCTGATCGCCTCCATCCTGCTCGAGCTGATCGATGTGAAGCTACGTGGTCGCTTCAAAATTTTTGTTGAGGCCTTTTTAAATCAAAATTTTTTTGATAAGCTCATTGTCTTCGCTTTCTTCTTTTCACTTTTATTCCGGCTTTTGAAAACAAACTTTGTTATTAATGAGCTGCATGCATGGTTTCATTTTTGAGTGAGACTTTTTCAAGTCTAATTTCAATATTTATGAGTTAAATTTGCATTGCTTCCTTCTCATTATTCTATGAGATATATTTAATTTTTATGTTTTCGATACGAATAATAAAACTGCTTGAGTTCATTGATGGGAAGCTCCATGTTCGCTTCATTAATATATGTGTGGGAATTTAACGGCACAGGAAAAGGGATGGGCGAGGTAGCGGCGCACGAAAAAGGGACATTTTAGGTAGGGGTTTGAGTGAGGCATGCATTTGAGGAAGCGGAGTAGGCATCGTTTGGAGATGCTGCGCCTCTGACACTACTCTTTGCTGCTGCGGCCACAGCAGCAAATGCGCCAGTAACGGCCACTACCACCGCTGCTCCTGCTAAACTGGTGTAGCCACTTGCTCGCGAATAGAGTTTCCTTACTCCTGAGCACCGATCAACATACCCAACGTAACAATAAACTTTTGGCTATCCCTCATTTTTGGCCGGATTAACAAGTCGTGGACGCCTACCAAGTGTGATTAGTTTCCAAAGTGTGGTTGGTGCCTCCAGGTGAGGTTGGTCCCCAATTTTCAGGCCTGGTCTGGTGTTGTCTTCTCCATGGCGTGGTCTTCATACTGGCGTGGCCCTCTTCCGTTGAGTGGTCTCCACCCTAACGTGGTCTTCATACTGGCGTGGCATCTTCCCTTGAGTGGTCTCCACCCTAATGTGGTCTTCAGAGTGGCGCGGCCTCCTCTCTGGCGTGGCCTCTTCCTTTGAGTGGTCTCCACCCTAATGTGGTCTTCAAAGTGGCGCGGCCTCTTCCCTGGAGTGGTCTCCACCCTAACGTGGTCTTCGCAGTGGTGCGGTCAACTTCCTGGCGTGGTCTCTTACTCGACGTGGTCACCTCATCTGGTGTAGCCCCTTCCCTTGCGTGGGGTCCTCCCTGACGTGCATGGTCTCCTACTTGGTGTGGTCTCCTCCCTTGCGTGGTCTCTTATCGTATCATATATCATATCATATCGATATCATATTATATCATATAACATCACATCATATCACATCATGTCATGTCTCTTATCATATCATATATCATATCGATATCATTTATCAAATCATATCACATCATGGCATGTCCAGAGGTGTGCAGTAACGCGCTAAATTTTCAGTAGCGGTAGCGGTGCTACATGTAAGCAATTGTAGCGGTAGCGGTAACGCCCGCTACATATTTAAGTAGCGATACGAGGTTTTGCCGCTACAGCGCTACCGCTACATTTATAGATAAAGCCTTTAGATTTTACTTAATAGTTTTAAATATTATTTAAAAACCAGCATGATACATACATAATACAAATTACAGAATAAAACTGTACGAAAGATTTCGGCGTAATGTCAACCTCAGCCTGTTACTAGTGTCAACATATTAGTTGTTAGTCCAGAGGTGGGCAGTAGCGCGCTACATGTAGCGGCCGCTGCTAGCGGCTGCAACATTTTCAGTAGCGGTAGCGGCGCTACATTTAAGCAATTTTAGCGATAGCGGTAGCGCCCGCTGCATTTAGAGCATGTAGCCGTAGCGGTAGCGCCTGCTACATTTCAAAGTAGCGCTGCCCAGCTCTGTTTGTTCGTTGATACTTTCCAAACGTCAAACTTCATATTGTTCTGGTAAGCAGTTTCAAATCGGTTCTTTCTTTAGATATAAAGATATGCTCCCTGTTCATATGCGATCGTCCCTGGTTTATCAATTTCGTTGAACACGATGTGCATCTGCGTACGTCGGTATGACGTCACGCAATCTTTATTACAGGGTCGCTCAGCATAAGGGCATGAGTTAGAGGACCGGTAAGTTGCTATCGCGCCCCCTTCATTCGGCTGTGCGCACTCACACCGAGCAGTGTGATGTCCTTGTTTCTGACAGTGACTTTAGGGTGTTAGCTTCCACCTCCGGTACTTCAGATTTGCGTATTTTAAAATCATTGTGCATTTTTAAACTTAGGCAAAGTTTAATTCAGCTGTTAGCTCCTATCCCCTTGAAATTGTGAATAGATAGGTTCGTTGTGCCCTATTAGTGTAAATTTAGGTTTTAATTGTGTTCTGTACTTTCAATTGTACTAATTTGTGACTTTCTATATAAATTCTAGATTCTACGAACTGACAATGGAGCTGGCCAGTTCGCAGGGGAGTTCGCTGAAGTGTCGATCCGGTATCTTGGGACTACTTCAACAACTGAATCTACTACAGTCGTGGAGCTGGATACTTCTCCAAAGCTTTTAAAAATTCACCAAACAAATAAAAAAAAAGAGATTACAAATTTTGCTACTAGAAGGGAACTGGATCTTGATATATATATTCATGGTTGAACTATACAAGTTCAACCATGTATATATTGACCCTTTATAGTATCCTGCGATGTTTGTTATAAAGTTTCAAATTAAAAATGAAATTTATTCGAAACTTGAGGTTCATAACTTGGTACGCTGAACCTATATAAAAATGTACAGTGGACATTTATGTTTTTCATTATAAATTAAGCGTATAACTTGGGTAAACTTCCGTTTTGCAGAAATCCTTTTTGTTAGTGCAAAGAAGCCACGATTTAGTGAGTACTGCGAAGATCGTAGGTGAGGATGCTCCGCAAAGTTTGGTCAAGCTGATCAGACAAACTTTTTTCCATTTCCTATTTAGAAATCTGAAGTTTGGTAGAATTACTATCACTGTTGAATTGCGATCATGCTTTTTTCTAGACAGTATCACATTTACTTGAAGTAATCTAATTCTGGTTGAATTACTTTGTTCTGTGGAGTTCCGTGCGGCGGCCGGCGTGCAGGTACAACGTTTTCATCATCTTCAAGTTCAAGACGTTCGAGTTTAGGCTAACTGTCAGTCTGTCATGCCGGGCGGCGGTCACTGGGCAGTCATGCCATTCGAAAGAAATATAATTATTTGTCTTGTCAATTTTTCATGAGTAACTAGCTTCATAAAAATATTAGAAAAAAATCACAATAATGGAAGATCAAGTGAAACACATTGAGCTGAAAATCCGAGAGGTTTTTGGAGACATTGCAGTAAGTGTAGCTATTATATTATATTTTTAACAGTTTTTTTTGTAGTTTGCACAATATTTCAATTTTGAACTGTTTCTGTAAATTGGTTTCCTTTTTACCTCACTTCTCTTTAACTTCACTTTTGGTTGTCTGTCTGCTACAAATCTTATTCCTACCTAGCTAGCCTAATCAATAGTTGATAGGCTACCTAGGCTATTTAGTATTTAACACACTCCCTAGTCCCTAGTCCTACTAAGTACTAGCCTACTTGTCTAATTGCTCTGAAATTTTGCACACTTGTGTAAAGTTGGAGTCTGGAGACAATGCAGGAATCAATTGATAGAATGAATAGGGTAAACGCGGTATATTCCGACATCGTAGGTAATTCCGTCACCTCTCCAGCTTTTCCTTTATATTAAGCTTTGTTTTACTTCCATGCGTTCATTTTAGTTCCATTGACGTCATACATTTGCGTGTCGAAATACTGCAAAAACACTAGGTCTTGGCCATCTAGTGGGCCATGGTCAGGAAGATGTCCCAGGTGCGCGGGAATTTATATTGTCATTTTAACGACCTGCGCGGTGCGCCGTACTATGCCGGTAAAAAAATGCGCCGTGCGCCAACAGCGCCGTACTTTTAGAAAGCTAAAATAGTTTAAATATGGACGCGCGGCAATGCAAATTACGTAATCACACTGACCGTACACACAAACTGACAAACGTGTATCCGCATTGTGTTGTGGTTGGATACGAGTTAACTAGATTGCAAACGCGTCAACTCAGGACTCAGGTTCTAAGAGTCAGCACAGAAATGAATATTCATTCATAGATCACAATTCAATCGGACATGAATTACAGAACTAAAGAAGGCAACATGGCTTTAGATGTGCCATCGGTGCCTTCTAATGAATGACTGGACTGGTTGCGGCAAGTAGGGTATGAACCTGTATCATGTATGTCAACAGTACGAACCTGCATGCCAATGCTGGGACTACATTCCTGAGTCCCGACATCCTCCCGGCCGGCAAAATTGACACGATCAATACGGTACCTAATAACAATGCGCGTAAATGGACTATACAAATTAGGTCAATATGGCATAATTACAGAGCGTAATTATGCTATGTGATAGTGATACATAATATGAATATATATATTTGCAAGATAAGTCAATGGTCTGTCGTTATTTTTTGCTTAATTTGAGCAATACTGGTTTCCAAATCTGAGTGCGTTACGGTTATGTTATGTCATGTGTACTTTGAATGTGCAAAAATTATAACTATCATATGAAAATTGTTACATAGGTTATCATAGCACGAATCACAATAGAGTATCAAGATTGCAGCTCTGCCACCAGCCTTCATTGAATTATCCCGCCTTTTTTCAACAATTCAATAATCTCTCCTCCAGCAAAGTTTGCAAAATTCATTAGCTGCACAAAATACTCTCTGCTGTGGTGTTCAAGTTCCAGTTGACATGACATCCGTTTGCATGTTAAATTAAATAGCAAGCACTTTTGTTAAATGTTAACAATTAGATTGGGGTTATTTCATCAAGCGGTAAACTTGCAGTTCCAAAAATGGCAGGAAAGCTCTAATCGCGCTACTCTGAAGGCAATCTATATAAATAATAATATAATCCACGCCTACGCTGGAGGAGGTTCAAAC